CCAGTATTAGAGCCTTCTCCAGAGAGTTAGGTCTTCACAAAACATGTCCAAAGTAGAGTAGTTTGAGCCTGGTCATTTGTGCCTTGAGTGAGAACTCTGGGTTGATTTGTTCGATGATCCATCGGTTTGTTTTCTTGGATGTCCATGGTATTCTCAGGGGTCTTTTCCAACACCAAAGTTCAAAAACATCAGTACTCTTCCTATCTTGCTTCTTCAATGTCCACTTTTTGTATAGATATTTAATGCTTAAAACAGCATCTTCAATGAACTTGGAAACAAATTTATAATCAGACCAATTGTAAATAGAATTTTCAAAGAGATTTAATATGTATTTACCTACAGAATGCCCCAAAACAAAGCCTCCACAAGATGGACAATGCATTCTGCAGTCTTTCTGGTCTTCTAAATCATCTTCAGGGGCAGTCCTACATAAAGCACATTCAGTGTATTACGTATCCCCAATAATTATGCCTGAAGTTGTACACATTAAAGTTTTCAAGTAATAAGTGCACTGTGCCTTGAATAATGTAAAACATTGACAAACGTACAATCTGAGAATAAGTGGTTTTGAAGACTATAGTTTTAAGTCATACTTTTCTTCACTACCATGTGTTTGATCCAGCTTTTATTCTCCTACCAGAATTCTTTCCCAAATGCTCCTCCATGTGAGGCAAGAGGTATGAGATAATCCTTGCCAATTTCATTTCACTGAAGCTTCATCACAATCTTTCCTGCTGCTGTGGGAATTTTGAGGTAAAGTGGGGATGAAATAATTTAGGGTAGGAGAATGGGGATCAGAAATGACTGCTTCCCCCTGTCCACCGGAGGATTCCCACACTATATCAACAGTCTCCTCTAGAAAAGAACTATCTGCTAAAGACTTCTATTGGATCCAGTCTAGTTAAAAATACAATTTTTTTCTGGGCTTGAACTGTTTTATTTTATCAGTGTATGAATTGCTGCTTACAAATTGAAAAAGACAAACTCTCATTAAAAAAGACATACCAGCCAAGGATTTTGAGACATTTAAGTTTTGTTTTTGTTTTTTTGATAACTTTACGATATGTGCAGCCAATGCTAGTTTCTTTGGATTTAAAACCTGATTTGTGCTGTACTCATTAAAATCAGGCACGCAACTGCTGAGTCACACTGACATTATGATAAGAGTTCCCAGCCAAATGCCTATTCTTGTTCTAAATGAGTTTCAGTAGCAATTGCTCTTAAGAGATAAGGAATACATAGGAATTTTGCAAGTGTACATAGAACATAAAATCATTGTTATGAACGTTTCATAAGTGAATGATTAACAGAAAGTATGGTTCTTTTTGAGAGTATTGAAGAATGAAAGAGACTTCCACACTGGGTAAAAGCCTATCTCTAAACATGGTCATGTTTGGGAACATTGTTTCAGCTTTACATTTTACATAATTGTCAACCTTTCAGAAATAACTTTGATATTATTGATACTACAATGCCAGTATTCATAATATTCACCTGTAGTTAACTATTTAAACTAAAGGAACTATGGAAGTTCATCTTTTCTCACTTCTGTTTAACATTTCCTAAAATGAGAATCCCCAACTATTTGGGGACATGGGCACATGTTGCCACCCTATGTTAGGACTTAGTCCTAAAGTCTATCTGGAATTTATCTTTAAATGCAGTGTTCCTCAACCTCGCCAACTTTAAGATGTGTGGACTTCAACTCCTAGAATTCCCCAGCCAGCTTCTGTAAGTTGAAGTCCACACATCTTAAAGCTGTTGAGGTTGAGGAACACTGTTTAAATGCATTGAAGTGTCCTACTATAACTATTCAAATTCAAACTATGCTTCATGATTTCAGAAAAATAATGCTTGAACATCATAATCTTGGCCTTAATCTGGAGGTACTTCAAGAGGGAGGACTCTTGGAGATGCTAGTCAGAAAGCATTATGTAGGTTTTCTGGCTTTCCCTCCTTATCAGGTTTATCTCAACAATAAACAAGCAAAGCTGTGAGAAAATAGGTAAGGGCCTCAAATCAAAGGGGACATCTGGACCTCTTGATAAATCCAGGAAATAAAAATGTTTCTGCACAGTGAGTCATATCCAGATATTTTAGGATATGCAGCAAAATGCTATTAAAATCTATGTAATCTCCCCAAAGCTGGACCAGTAACATTTTTTAAAAATATTAATAATTGCCACATCACTAAAATGTTTACAGACATATCCTCCATACATAACAGACAGATCTGGAAATACTTTGAATAAATGACCTTGAGTGTCACATGAGTAGACTTCTGTTTGTGCAATATCACATGAGCAGATTTTGTCTTCCCTTTCTCTTCTCCTCTTTTTCCTGAAAAAAAAAAAATCTGTTGTCCTCTTCCAACCTTCTTGAGCAAATTTGGAACTGGAAGGAGAAAAGAGGGGGAAGTCTATTCTGACTGCAGAATCTATTTTGCTGGCAGAAAGACATCATAGGATACAACTCTTAAAATAATATAAGTCCAGCTTTGTATACAGTATGTCTGTTCCTTTTGACACAGCTTTTCTGTGTGCCTTTTTTCATACTCCAGTGTTATTCCTTCCTCATTTTATTTAAAGTAGAATATTATTATTGCTTACTTTTTTCTGGTAAGTAACATATTGATTGGGTTTAGAATTCTGCATTGGTAACAATAACTTTGTGATTTCTGAGAAAAATAAAACATTCAAGGAAAATGCTTGCATATTGGGGGGGGGGCTATAAAATTTCCTATATATTAAGTCTGGTTAGTCAGTGTTAATTATAATGTAAAAACACAAGTTATGAAGGAACTATCAAGTATATCAGTTCCAGTTTATGTGGAATGCTGCCTCTTTTTTGCCACCTAGGGTAAATAAGTCATTTTGTGATTTATACAATCAGATTGTAAATCCTTACAAGAACTAGTTCAGCCTACATGAACTCCTTTAAACAGACACAGTGTTGATTTCTTGCTTTTGTCTGCTTTTGCTTTAACTTCCTTCACTTAAGCCATATGATTCCTATGACCTTGAATAAAATCATATTCCAGTGACAAAACAGCGAACTTAAACCGGGCAATGTAATTAAACAGCTTTGCTTAAATAACTTAACAGCAGTCAATTTGGAGTTTGAGCTGCAGGCTTAACTGATCAAGGGAGTTACACTCCCAGGTTTAAGAATTGTTCTGTAAAGGCTGCAGGAATGGCCACCATGAGAAATCTGGTGTCAGTAATCCAAACCTGGGAAATGACATCGGGTTATTTGTTAGGCATCACAAGGTTTACATTACTCCAAAAGTTATCATTTGCTGATTTCAGTCTTCTTCCCTTTATTCTTTGATGATGCAGGAACTTTGTGATATGTTTTCAAGTCATGTGGGGGTGTCATTTGCTCTTTTCCCTCAGTTCCCTCCTGTCCTGAGGCTGTAAATCCTAGACAACAATAGATCAGCCTCCTCCTGCTGGTGCTGTGTGACTTGCATCATCATCATCATTGTCCCCATGAGCATTCTGAGTGGGGTCCATGGAAGCTTTCCTACAGCGGGTCTGGAGGGCGCTAGATTAGTGAAGGCTGTCCAGACATCTGAGCCTGAACCCATTGCCCTCATCCCCAGCAAGATGACACCCAGCTTGTCCACTTACTTGAATGACTTAGCAATTGTTTTACTTATTAACTTTTGCCTTGCAGCATGAATCCAGTGGATTCTGGTTATTAAGATGCGGTTTCACATTGCCAAGTGAGTTTAAGAGATTATATATTAGCAAGAGAGGCAGCAACAGTCACTTGCCGATGTTGTCAAAATAGGAACATTGTGCACAATCATTAGCAACATTTGGCTGTATTTTCAGCCCTTTTGCTGAGGGAATTCTAGTGTTTCTCCATGTGTCCGAAAGTTCAACACGAAGACGGGAGTTCAATTAAGCTGTAGTTGGGTTTCAGTATTTTTTTTTTCAGGATGTAAGGCTGTAGAGCAGGGAGAAGTGAAGGAACTAACCCAAGAAATATCATCAAACTATTGTGGTGGTTTTGGTAGAGAGGTAGCTGATTGAATGTTGCCAACAGCTTCATACTAAACAAAAATCATAAACAAATGGCAAGAAACAAAATATAATGAAACAGAGGTGCAGTGAAAATTGTGTGTGAAGGGAAAATCATTTCTCTGAACTCAGACCAGAAAACATCTCTGACCCTAAAAAGCAGACTTTTTGTGGAGGTCAACGCTTAGGATCATTCCAGGTCAGATGGCGCTTACAGGCTAGTTTCCACGGTGGTGCGCTGGAATTGCTGCAGATGCCTCTGTGACTCAGATAAACCTGTGGAGAGGTTGTAGCTGTACAGATTTTAAAACAAATGGTTTTATTCACTTCTAGATCGCCCTGGACTATTGAATGTGAAGCCTATTGAAGATATTCAAGACAGTTTGCTGCAATCATTAGAACTCCAGTTAAAGCTGAATCACCCGGAATCATCACAGCTGTTTGCCAAATTGTTGCAGAAAATGACAGACCTCAGACAGATTGTAACAGAACATGTGCAGCTGTTGCAAATTATAAAGAAGACGGAGACAGATATGAGCCTTCATCCACTCCTACAAGAAATTTACAAGGATTTGTATTAAGGGTCATCAAATTTCTAATTCATTAACATAAGTACGTTCATCAAATTGCACTATTTCTTTAAGAGGGAAAATATTACATACCTAAGAAATTACTGTGAAAGAAAAACATTTAAAGAGACAGAGCTTTACTATTATAGATCTATTTTATGCATATTGTTTATAAAGACACATTTACAATTTGCTTTTAATATTAAAATGTCTGTATCATCAAAATGTTGGCAGTATTTTCCAGATTCTTTTTTCCTGACTTATTTGATAAAATAGCACTGCTTTTTCAACCTGATTTAAAAATAACATTGACATTGGAGTAAGAGTACAGTTCAGCTTCACAACAAACAAGAGTAATTCCCCCCTCAAGGGAAGTTTTCTGAATACTTGATGTAGTGATGAATCAACAACAATTATACAGGTCACTGCATTACTCTACAGTGCCCCAATTATCTATGTCTAACTTTTAAATATTTTTTTTCAGAAAGGTGCAAAAGGGTCCAATTTAAAAAGAAAGGGTCCAATTTGCAGGTTTTTCAAAACATTCCTGACATTTAGCTGGGCTTGAAAGAGACTGCCGGAAGAATGATTATTTATGATTTACATTTATATTAAATAATACATGTACATTTCAGGGTGCTCAGGATACGTAATGCAAAATAAGCTTTATGCTGTTTTATAGTTCATTTATGTCGTATGCTTATTTCAAGTGTGAGCTGCACAGCTCTCTTGTTTTCTCTCTGCTGCCTCTAGTGGTAGCTTGGCACAGGACCGGAAAATCTGATGTGCCCCTGAGATGCGAAACACTCCCTGTGTGTGGTGGTGGTGGTGGCAGCGGCGGCAGCAGCAGCAGCAGGCTCTTTTGATCTTGGCAAAGCTGGCAGCGAGATCCCTCATGTGATTGCCCTCAAGCAAGCCGAACGTTGCAAAGCAACAGGGCAGATTTTTATGAGACTGCTGTTTGGATTAGTATTTACAGGGTAGCAAGTTGGAACAAGATAGCATTTATCAACTTCTGACTGGGAGAGAAAGGAAATTGTTTTTCACTGGAAGTGTTTAATGACTTTGGAAAGCCTACTGGTATCACTGTTCAGACAGATCAAGCATCCATCCTGCTTTTGGTAAAAAGCACTATCCTGGGAGTTTGGGAGCCGAGCTAAAATTGTAGTGTAGGAAGCACCATTTCCCCCTCCCTCCCCCTGAGTAAACATGCTGCTAATGCTGAAGTTTTAGAATGGTGTGAATGGCCTCAACATAACACCAATGCAGACAAAGCACTGATCACTGTGAAATGAATACTGTGGCTCAGGGAAATTGTCCATAGTGGGAGTCAATTAAATCAGAGGTAGATAACAGGTGGTAGTCCAGATATTGCTGAACTACAGCTTCCAGTCTCCCAAGCCCATCTGGCCAATGGTGAGGGATGCTAGGAGCTGTAGCTGAGCAACTCCTGACATGATGGAAGTTGCCTGTCCTTGCCATAAACTGTGAATAGACAAAAAGTCTTAATCAGGTCTTTGATCCACAGTGGATCTCCAAATCTGCTCTCAAAAACCCTCTAAGGAAAGCAACTGGAAACAACAAGGAAGCATCATTACAGGCCACGGGGAGCCCAGTTAGCCTGTCAGCAGCCACGTTTCTAAAGAGGGTTGAACTTGCTATTCTCTGCCTTGAACACAGTTGTGGTTCCCTCCATTGGCTGCTCTCGCATTGCTACTGCCAGGGATCAGACTGACAGTTTTATAAATGTAAACTTATGGTTTGCTCCCTGCACATTACAAAAGCATACCAGGGGATATGGAATAAACTCAGAACAATGGGCAAGTGTGCATTGGGGGAATCAAACTAATATGGTTGCATATTTAAAGCAACTCAAATGTGAACTGCATTCATTATCAAAACTGAAGAGCAGAGTTATTCATTACACCCGAATTCCCCGTGGTTTATACATTGTATATTTAATCAAGATACAAAGCTTGAACTTAAAGCAGGTTTTTGAATCTTGCAACTTTGTGACATGTTGCTGACTAGAATTGGCTGAATGCTGATTGCATTCTGATGAGTTGGGTCTGGCAGGATGTTCTAGTATGGAAATGTGTGTTCAGTACTTGGCAAACAGTAGTCAGATAACTGGGATTCTAGAATATCTGCAAAGCAGATTTGATGACATTGATTTCTAGCTATTCCTTGCCTCTGCTTTCTATGATTGATTTACAAGTGGGAAACACAATATTTAAGAATTTGAAGAGGGGTTCTAGATCAAGATAGGGTAGCAATCCAATGTGCCTCAAATAAAATGCCATTTTTAATTTCCTTATTGAAAATAAAGAAATCTACATATTTTAGATTTTGATTTCAACTGGTGCTAACAGCTTGAGGAAAATTGAAAACACAAAATGGTAAATACAATTTATGTTATAGCTTAGACATCATACTACATTTTTCATATTAAAATTGCTTTTAACTTTCTTGCAAAATATGGTCTTTAAGAAACCAGGCATTTATCTGTTTAAAAGTATTAAGCAGAATTATGAATGAGTTACAAGAATATATAACATTTTCAGCATGTATCAAAGTTTGAAATAGGAAAAAAGATTTTCACCGTGGGCTCTGTACTTAATTAGACCATTCAGCCACTTCAGGAAACAAAACCTTTTTCTAAACTCCTAGTATTTTCTCATGTGAATTATAATCATAATTTTGGTTTGAGTTTAAATATATTCTGTTTCTATGGGATTTTATTTATTAAAAAAAAGCTTGCTCATGTCAATTTATGTAGGCTGTGTTATTTTCAGAACCTCAAGGGCTTTGGTGAAAATGTTCCAAATCATAAATCACTGACTGCTTTTGAAAATATGACTATAACCCAAAACATTTGGTAACTTGAAATTAACTAAACTGTGTGTGTGTGTGTGTGTGTTTCCCCTTCCCTTCCCTTCCCTTCCCTTCCCTTCCCTTCCCTTCCCTTCCCTTCCCTTCCC